TTTGAGGCATTATCCACCGACACCGTATAGATTTTACTCTCAATGCCCCACTCTTGCAAGCATTTGAATATAGCATCTGCAATTTGGACTCCGCGCCGTGGAGGGGGAATATGCACAAAGTTGAGGACTCGTTTTTGCAATCTCCATTGGCTATCGATCCAATGCCCAGTTATCACCGTATATTCAATCTTCTGATTTTTCGACTTCCAAAGATCTGTGGTCAAGCTGATTTTCTGGACTTTCTTGAACAAATTTTTCAGTTTGGACTGCTCTCTATCGTATATCGCTTTGCAATCATTTTTGTTTGTAGTTCGGCTGATCTTTTGCCATTCCGGTATTCCTCTTTTCAGCATCAGGTTAAATCCATCTTCCTCGACAATTGAAAAAGGATGCTCATGCATTAGTACCCATTCGGCAGCTGATTCTCTCATGGCGGCCATATCAAATTTACCAGTATGAAGATATGGATGAGGTGTGCTTGAATCGGCTGTTGGAAAATTAATCTTTTGCTGTTGCGGTTGCCTCAATTTTTTCAATCTCGAGGTGCATGACGACCTGTGCCTCAGCATACTAGTTGTTGAGCTCGTATTGCCTTTCTTCAGTTTGACTTTGCAATGTTTGCACACACAATATTTATCGTCACCCACGCGTACTTCCTTGAAATCTTTCCAAGCTTCTGATTTTTTTGTCCTTTTCTTTTTTCTGAATGCATCTAGATTGTCAATGTGTTCATCCATTTCATTAGGGTCTTCCTCGATCTCCTCGGCCTCGGCCTCGGCCTCGAGGCCCTCGACATCGACCTCATCTGCACTGCCTAACTCTTCATCTCCAAGAGAAGGCACTTTTTCTGCCTCATTATCAACTTCAATTGCATTGTTCATATCCATTGGGCTAGAAGTATCTCCAACTGATCGAATGCTTCGTGAAGATATTTCTTGATTGGAGGGAGACGTCATCCTTTATGTAGTCTGTTAGCTGTAGCCACATATAAAATATATATATATATATATATAAGCTTGATATGTTTTATTTTTTTATCAATCAAAACAATAACAATAATCAAACCATGTACATCAAATACTTGGTAATAGTAATTCATAATGAGGTCTGTCTAATAGGACATTTCTCCATATTATGAACATCGACATTATATGTTAACTCTGTAATTTGTGTTGCATCTAATCTGTGAAGATCAAATTCGTTAACTAAATACCAAACCAATTACAACCAAAAAACAAAGACCAAAACAAGTGCTCTCCAATTATTTTAATTAATACAACCTAATCTGGCAATTCAAAAAATAAAAACTGCAATGAAAGCTTACATCACGGAAAGGTTCTAACCAGGTGCTTTTCAAAATTTGCATCTCTGCAGAATATAACTAGCCAAAAAATATTGAAAGAAAACGAGAAAAGTCAACCAGATACTAATTTCACCAATGACCAATGAGCCCAGAAATAGCCAGGTTTAGACTGCTTTCAACTTTCAAGTAATAAAGAAATACAAATTTGAAATCCCAATTCCCATAGCAATAACAATGAAGAATTAGTATATACAAGCTTTAGTGTAATCAAGTAACTGTTTCATCAATACACAACAAGTAGTACTCACAAAGACTGTACCTTTGTCTATTACAGCTTCAAACAACTATGACCCTACCAGTAAACAAATGCTAAAAAATGAAAGCAAAATCAACTGGTAACATCCCTAACCCAACAGTAATCAAGCTTCTTAACTAGATACATAATACATGGGCGTAAAGCTAAATAATCTGAACACAAAATATAATTATGTAACAAAAGAACAACTTCTATACAAAATCACTTAACTAGAACACAACAAAAAACTCCCACAGTACAATTTGATTAGAACTAGTGACGGTTAAGTGATGGGTAAAAAATTATAATATTGCATAATGTCTACTTTACCATTTCAAGACGATTCACAGCAAGCTCATTTTCAACAAGAAAAGGATCCCACCAACTTTTCAAACAAGACAAGAATCCCAAAAATTCTTGCATAATGTCTACAAATGCCTGAGTAGAAAACAAAAGTGCTAATGTTCGAATACTTCCTATTACAGGCAAAAACTGAAATTTCATATCACAGACTGAAATTACCTCTTGAAATTACATATTCACCCAAAAAAAATCATGTTCCCTATCAAACCTAAATCACAGAATTTTAGCAGGTAAGAGTGTAAGACGTGGAAACTTACATCCTCGGAGCTATGACCGTGAGCCTATGACGTTCGTCTCGCACCAATGGGCGATGGCGACCGGAATGGCGACGGACAGATGGATACGCGAGAGTGAAGAGTGGCGACGGGTCGATGGCGACCGCAATGGGCAACGAACGAGGGAGATGGCGATAAGCGATGGGGCAATGTCGATGGTGATGGTGATGAGAGATGGACAATGGTGATGGTAATGGCGATTGCGGCGGGCAGCGGGCTAGGGTTTTTAGGGGTAGAGAACGGGAGAAGAATGAAGAAGGAAATGAAATGTAAATTATTTAGTTTTTGGAAGTATAAATATGATAAGTGGAATGAAATAATAAAATGACCAAATGCATCCTAAAGTATATACAATGTAATTGGACCTCTAAGGGCTATTATGTAAATTTACATATATAACGAGCTGCTCGTCGAGCAGCTCGCGACTATGAAAATGGGGCTCGAGATCGGCTCGCGAACGGACTCGAACTGCTCGAGCTCGACTCGAGCTCGAGTTTGACCGAGCTCGAGTCGAGTTTTGACTCGAGCGCTCGCGAGCCGCTCGCGAGCAGCTCGGTTCGTTTGCAGCCCTAATTGTAGCACAACAAAAGGACTAACTCGTGCTCGTATTTGGACTGAGCTCGACTCTATCTTGTAAAATTGCCTGAATACCCGAACTAAATATCTTTTAATTAAAGTTTGAGCTGAATTCGAGCAAATACCAAGTCCATAAGAATCAAGCTGATCTGCATTGATTGTGTTTTTTGTCGAGCCGAGCCTTAAAATACTTTGATCTGCATTGTTTGTGTTTTTTGTCGAGGTTTGTGTTTTTTGTCGAGCCGAGCCTTAAAATACTTGTGGCATGATTGTATACAAAAATTTTCATTTAAAATTTTATTCAACTCAAAATCTAACTCAACTTTAACTCAATTTCAATATCTTCAATATTATCAATATACCTAAATAATGTTACCCAATCAATCTTACACATCACAGCTACTGTAATTCACTATTCATCCACTCACATAAGTTTACTAACAATCATTTCATATCATTTCTCACACAGTTACTAACAAAAGGACTAACTCGTGCTCGTATTTGGATTGAGCTCGACTCTAGCTTGTAAAATTGCCTGAATACCCGAACTAAAATTTGAGCCGAGTTCGAGCAAATACCAAGTCCATAAGAATCAAGTTGATATGCATTGTTTTTGTTTTTTGTCGAGCGAGCCTTAAATTGTTTGTGTTTTTTGTCGAGCCGAGCCTTAAAATCTTGTGGCATGATTGTATACAAAAATTTTCATTTAAAATTTTATTCAACTCAAAATCTAACTCAACTTTAACTCAATTTCAATATCTTCAATATTATCAATATAATCAAATAATGTCACTCATTCAATCTTACACATCACATCTATTGTAATTCACTATTCATCCACTCACATAAGTTTACTAACAATCATTTCATATCATTTCTCACATAGTTACTAACAAAAGGACTAATTCGTGCTCGTATTTGGACTGAGCTCGACTCTAGCTTGTAAAATTGCCTGAATACCCGAACTAAATATCTTTTTAATTAAAATTTGAGCCGAATTCGAGCAAATACCAAGTCCATAAGAATCAAGTTGATCTGCATTGTTTGTGTTTTTTGTCGAGTGGAGCCTTAAAATACTTTGATCTGCATTGTTTGTATTTTTTGTCGAGCCGAGCCTTAAAATACTTGTGACATGATTGTATACAAAAATTTCCATTTAAAATTTCATTCAACTCAAACACTCAACTTTAACTCAATTTCAATATCTTCAATATTATCAATATAATTAAATAATGTCACCCAATCAATCTTACACATCACATCTACTGTACTTCACTATTCATCAACTAATATAGTTTCTAACAATCATTTCACTATATCAAATGGTATGATTAGTTATTAACCATACCATATTTTGTCTAAATTAACTCAAGTTAACCAAAAAATCCACTTTGAGTGAAATTTTTGTATCCAAACAGGCTAATAACTTGTGTTTTCCTTTGTTCTTTCATGGTGGGACAAAATTTCCTTTTTCAAAATCATGTTTCAATCCACTTTTCATTCTATTGGATGACGTCCGTTTCATTTTATTGGATGATTGACATGTGTATAATTGTGACATCGTTGTAAATATGTGTCATTTTCATAAATTATCTTGTGATTTGATTTGGTTTTCCATCTCATAAACAAAATCTGAATAGAAAAAAATAAAATAAAATAAAATCTAAGTGAGTCGATCCAAGTCCCACATGAACAAATCACATATAAAAATGATCACATACACTATGTATTGTGCCACATTAATGATGCTGTAGTAAAAAATCTCATACTTAAAATTATTTTCAGACTTACTCTAAAATTATTATCCATAATCTTAATCTCCAAAGCAGCACTTATATACTGAAGAGTCGCTATAATAAACTAAAAATTTTGACATGATATTCATAAAATGCATACAATAAGCATATGTAGTCACATATGTCTGTTTTCATTAATAACAAACAACAATTTCACAATTGCTTTAATGTGAACTCGAATGTCAATACAGCCAGCAGTTACACTCGAACCGGGTAAAGAAGACCGATCAGTCAGAAGACAAATCACTTCAATTGTGCAAAAATATCAAACCGAGCGAGGTGGAAAATTTGAAAAAAAAAAAAAAGAAAGAAAGAAAGAAAGAAACGCCCACGAATTTCAAGCTCATGCGAAATAGATAATGCAGTCGGTTTAAGTAGATTTTTGCTTGCACTCAAGAATCGGGAACTGCTGCTGCCGTTGGGCGTTTCATGGATGCAGACTTGATCAAATGATTGTAGCTTCCCTTTTCCTTAAACAGTTGCGAAAAATGAGGTTTGCAGTATAAGATGCCGTCTAAGGCAGCATAATTTGATGGGGTCAGTGAACATCCGCCATGAGAACACTTGAAACAAGACTTGTGGTAGCTTTGGCTTTCCACTGTAACCTGGAAAATCATCGAGCGGGAAAGAAAACAAAACAGTAAAAGAGGAACCAAATTTTCATGTCACGTCAAATATTAATGCTATATGTTTGGTAAAACTAGATGTGATAAGCTGGCTGATAGCTGATAAGTGATTTTCGAACTTGTAGCTTATGACTTACGGCTAAAAAACTAATTTATATGATAAAAGTTTTTGGTAAAATTAGCTAATAAGGCATTAAGGCTAGCTGAAATAAAAAATTTAGCAAGCTTATTTGAAAAGCTACCCAAAGAAACTTATGATATAAGCTCGAGCTTTTTTAAGAATGCTCGTCCTACCAAACGAATTTTATTTGAATACACGAAGCTTATAAGCTAACTTATTTGGTTACCAAACATAACCTAAGAAAAATGGTTGAATGAAAACACAATAACTGTGAGGGTGTGCACACAAGTTTTTAATGATGCAATAACTTCGAATAGATCATTAGAAGAACCGAAAAAAAAGCAGTAAGAGATGTCACTTTAGGCGATGTTATTTCTTAAAAGTACCTTCTCCAGTGGGTAAGCTGTTTTACCACACGTGGCACATTTGTCCTGAGTTCCGGAAAACATACTAGCAGCTTTGCTAGGTGATCTTGTCTGACATTTAACAGATAAGAACAATAAGAATTTAAATGGCACCTTATGGACTATATTAAAGACTATGAAACTATGGGGAGTTTTTACCAACTCTGGAGTTGACTTCTCAGCTGACTTTGCAGCTGCAGAAAATCCCCATTGGCACCAATCAGACAAGTGAAAAGAATTTCAATGTCGAAATTGGAGAAAATAATATATATGAAATACGTATAACGGGATAAGGCGTACGAGAATGAAAATTCTTGCTGAAACTGCCAGTCTCCTTGAAAAGCTGCTCATAGTGAGGCTTGCAGTACAACACACCCTCCATTGAAGAGTAGCTGCTCAGCTGGAGCACAAAAATATAAGCATGAATCAGAACCTTTAAAGGTACATCCATATCTTCATTAATAATTGCAACCAGAACAAGCATTGATACCCGTGCAATGCACGGGATGCAATAAAAATAGCAATATTTTATATTCTTTATTATTATTATCTTTTATTCTTTTTTGTTCTGAGTTACTTTCAGAAGAACACACATTCGACTATTTAGTATGTATGAGGATTTTATTTTTCATAAGCTTATAAAATGTTGCGAATGCCTATAATTTTAAATAATAATACATGTGTATCTACATTTGCGTATATAAAAGTATTTATTATTTGAATATTTTTAACTATTTAACAATCCACAATTCATATATTTTATATTTATTATTTCAATGAGTACCAAATGTCATAATTTTTAGTTATGATATTTGAGTATAGGTTATTTCATTTACTCATCTTTTATTTAATGAATATATAATTAGAATTTTAGTTTTCCCACATTCATATTCTTAACAAATTTTATGCGGAATATACTATTTTTTTTATTTCACCTGACCCACCACCAAAATAATCATTATAATTATATATAATTTATCCATGCATCTATTTTTATATATACGAATTATTTATTTAATGGACACACAAACACACATATATATTTACTTTATTTCTTAGATCAAACATCGATTTTATTAGACAATAGCATCATTTGGCTAATTTGATACCTTTTATTAAGCATTCATTCGATGAATCACATACTCTACATGATAAATTAGTATTATCATTTGATATTAAATATAGAATTGTTCAAGTAGAATTTAATTTGCATTATTCATATCAAAATTCAAGGAAATTAGAAATTATAAATCAATCTTTACAAAACAAACTTTTAGAATCGATTTCTAAACAATGTTCAATAATATTTCTAAATTCGGTTGAAAATTTTAGGCAGGAAAAAATATATACTAGTTTTAGCAAAATAAATAGGTCCATTATATAGGTATAGAGATAGATACGCAAAACTATCTGAGATTTCTGCTGTAAACTAAGATCTGCCACACATTGTTGCTCACAATAACTTTCATCATCACAGTCCTTTTGAACACTCACAGTTTATGATTTCATGGGAAAGCAATTGGTGCTGGTGTCATAATTTTCCCAACTCTTTGCCATCAAGATTACACTTATTTTACTACTCGGTGATTTAAAATGTTCTCCCAATATCTATATCTATATATATATAATTATTGGCAAGCTTCATTTAATTTTATTCAGCCTTCATTTAATAAAAATATGTTGCATTTAATAAAAATAGGTTGCATTTAATAAAAATATATTCATCATTTAATAATAATATGTAACTTTCAGTTACAAAATTTATTTTGATAGGTCACATTATGGATGGTACTCATTTTCTGTAACGCCTTTTTATATCCTGAAATACAAAATATATTTGTTTTTATTTTGATACTATATATTTTTTGATATTATACAAATATATATTTCACAACTAATTAAGAATGACTACAAGTATCTCTATTTTCTATTGCAGTCATACAACATCAAATATTTTTGAAAAATAAAATATCAGATTCATGAGTCGAAGAGGTTTAACGATAATGATTTGTTGTGAAGGGATTCTGACAATCGGAAAATAATAAATGTTGTATATAAATTAAGAAGTATCTAACAATATTTAGAATTACTTTTTTAAATGATTTTTTTCTTATTTATTAAATTATGACTTTTAAGTTATTCTATATATTTAATTACTTTCTCTTCGATTATATCGTTTTTCGTGCAAATGCACGGGGTAAAACTAGTAATCAAGTAAAACAAAACTTTTCAAAAAGCTCAATTATATGCAATAACCAAACATTAAGAAACCATGTCTGTAAACAAAGGCAAACAAGCATCTTAAACATAAAAAAGTTGGGCATCAAATGTGTCCATTATCAAGAGCCAGGTCATATTAAAGCATCAAGCAATATAAAAATATGTCTAGCCTCAAATTAAGACATATGCTCAAACAGGTTACAAAGCAGAAAAAAAGAAAGAACAAACCTTGCAGAAAATCAAGCTCCCCATCAGAAAAACACATTATAACAAGCATAATTATGTAAGATAATTCCATGAGTAGAACTGAAGCATATCCTTTCAAATACCTTAGCCACTTACAGAAGTCATAAATAAGACATCACGAGACATCATTGAGAAACGTACTCAGTGGATAAGTGTTGCGGGTAATTTAAAAAGATACGATCTTGATGCAGCAAATGTAAAACCGAGCTAGCAATTGAGAAAATATTCTACTATCAAGCAAAAATGGCCATGATTGGTAAACACAACATCACATTGACATAAATATGGACATGATGCTTGTAAATTATTTAAAAAGATACGATCTTGATGCAGCAAATGTAAAACCGAGCTAGCGATTGAGCAAATATTCTACTATCTAGCAAAAATGGCCATGATTGCTAAACACAACATCACATTTACATAAATATGGACACGATGCATGTAAATTATTTAAAAAGATACGATCTTGATGCAGAAAATGTAAAACCGAGCTAGCGATTGAGCAAATATTCTACTATCTAACAAAAATGGCCATGATTGCTAAACACAACATCACATTTACATAAATATGGACACAATGCTTGTAAATTTTTCAAAGAGATACGATCTTGATGCAGCAAATGCAAAACCGAGCTAGCGATCGAGAAAACATATTCGACTATCAAGCAAAAATGGCTACGATTGCTAAACACAACATCACATTTACATAAAAATATGGACATGATGCTTGTAAATTATTAATCAAGTGAATCAACAATCAGTTATAGACTGCAGGTTTTAACCTTGAGAGTCCCTTTGCAGTGAGAGCATTTGAAGCAAGACTTGTGATAACTAATCCCATCAGCGGACAACAGCTCGACCGGATAAACAGTCTTCTCGCAGGCCTTGCATTTCTGCTGTGTCCCAATAAAAGACATTTTTTACTTTGTATCCCAAAAACCAAACAGATCTGATCTTCCCAGATAAACCTTGTTGCTCCTATGTATGTATCCAACCCCTGAAGACCAAAAAATCAGTACTTCATTACATTCACTGGTCCGGGATTTTCGACTATAACAGCCGATCTACAACTTCAAGCAAAAAATTCAGATTAAAAATGGAGTCTTTATAGAGAATATACAAAACCCATATGAGAATTAAGATTTACAAATGGAGTCTCGAAGTGAAAATAAAAAACCCATTAGGTAAAAAAAAAAAAAATCATACCTTTGTTAGAAGACGCAGCAAATAGTCAAGGTGCTCTCGATCAATGTCAGGTCCCCCAAGACTCCTAGCTGAAAAAAATAAATAAATAAAATAAAATAAAATAAATAAATAAATCCCTAATTTCAGGTACCCCACTTTGTGGTTAGATATTTATAAACATGCGTAATGATCAAGATGCGATGAGGATGAATAATGATGATGATGGTGGATATATTTGTATTATAAGGTGTTTGGTAATATCATCGCTGGAAAAGCATTAATTCCGGTTCGACACTTGCAAAGGTTGTCTTTTCTAACCCGTTTTAGTTAAAAAAAAAGCGGATGGAAGTAGATTTAAATGAAAAATATTAAATATGTTTGATAAAAGTCAAGTTTTATAATAGATTTTTTTTATTATTATTAAATACTTCTCTTTACACAATATTTTTTTTTTTTTTTGGTACAAAAAAAAAAGGCTAAAACGCCTAAGCTAGAACCCGTCGGGAGTATGGAACCCCGATGTTATCATGCTGAAGCCACTCGCCTAACCCTGTAGGTATAATGGAAACTAGATGCAATCCAATCGGATATGAAGTCGCTAAGCTCGCCAGGTGGTCAGCCGCGAAATTTGCTTCTTTTATGGACGTGTTGAACTCGTACATTCCACTCCTTCTGTAATAAGCCCGGATGGCCTTAACCCTATATAGCATCATGAACTCCAAAAGAGCCATCTACATTCATCACCATCCGCATGACGCATTGGCTATCAATTTCGACAATAAATTGTCGATGTCTCGAATCCCAAGCCAATAAGAGTTCCTGAAAAAGTCCCCAAAGCTCAGCTCCCGTGATTGTGCAAGCACCAATATTCATAAGAAAGCCCGATTGCCATCGTCCCGCTTCATCCCGCATTAGACCTCCAGCACTACTTAGGCCAGTGCGATTATCAAAAGCCCCATCAGAATTTAACTTCATCCACCCCGGTTCTATGGGATTCCACCGAATTAGGCGAGTAATATAACTGGCAGCCCCAATCTTCCTATAATCCACCTGAGCTCGAACATAGGTATTCGTAATGCGTACAACCTCCAAATATCGGGCCTCACGACTAAGAGCAGATTATTTAAATATCCTCCCATTCCGCCATGTCCACATTTTCCATACTGCTATGGAGAAAGGAGTATTCCATTGTACAGTAGTTTCCCGCTGCTGCAACAGAAAATTCGTGCGGAGACAAACGATCAGTGGCTGGCAGAAGAAATCACCGACAGATGCCGCCCAAAATAAGAGTTGCCAGATCTCCTTCACCGCCGGACAGTCACGCAAGACATGGAGGGTTAACTCGACATCGCCGCAAAAATCACATGCCCCGGATTCCGAAATATGACGCCTCACTCTTCCAGCGTTGATTAATAGTTGGTCATTTGCAGCAAGCCACAAGAACATGCGTACCCACTGCGGGGCAGGACCTCGCCAAATAAGCTTCCATAAATTTTAGTCATGGTGGCACGTTGGAGTAGGGCTGAGCATGGGACTCGGAGAATTCCAAACCATTTCGGAAACCGAACCGAAATCACTCCGAACCGAAAAATAACCGTTGACCGTTTGACTTTCTCCGAACCGAAAAAATAATTGGTACGGTTCTGGAGATTTCACAAATATCCGTACCGAGAATCGAACCGAACCGTCCCATACCGTACCGAACCGAAGAACCAAAATCAAGAACCGAATTATAACATTAGATGTGTTATTAATATATTTTATGTAACTTTTTATCCTTTATAATATAGTAATAATAACTATAACCTTCACTTAACTTTCATGTTTAGTAATACTTGATCTACAAATGAATTTTTTCTATTATAAAGTAACTATTTAAAATAATATGAAAGGTTAAAGAATATTTTTTAGAAAAAAATATTATATTTTGTTTGAATTTTAAATTTTTACTATTAGTTGCACAAATATAGTCTTAACTAAAATTTAGAGTTACTTCTAAAGTTGATTTCAAAATAAAATTTTTAATATGAGGAAGAATTGATGAATGTTGGTTTTGTTAAAGCATATAAAAATTAAATAACTAAAATTTAGAGTTACTTATAAAATTGATTTCAATATAAAATCTTCAATATGATGAATTATTGATGAATGTTGTTTTTTTAAAGCATATAAAAATTAAAATATAACTAGGTAGTTATTAAAAAAAATTCTAAAAAAATAAGAAATCTCCGTAAATTTGAACCAAACCATATCGAACTGTACCGTCCCAATAGTCCCGAATACCGAACCGAACCAAAAAATAAAATCTCCGAACCGGACCGAACCGACTTTTTGGTACGGTTCCGGAGATCGAATTTTGGGATCTCCGAACTTTGGTACGATCCTGGAAATTTATCAATCTTCGAACCGTACGGACCCACGCTCACCCCTACGTTGGAGAAGACAAAGCTCGATAGGCGGACCTCGTGGCAAATTGCCCATCCTCTGAAAAACCCCAGGTAATACGATCATCCTCGGCAGTCTCCTTAAGGGGGAGAGTGCCCGCTATTCGGGGGACCAGAGTTGACGGCAAAATCCCATGGAATCTATGCCACTCCCAATTCCCACAGGCGTCCACATGCTCAGCTACTGTAGAAAATATATTATCGATGTATACATGGTTATGAACAAATCGAATTAAGGGCCCAGCCGACCCAAGCCAAGGGTCACGCCAGAAACGAATCCGCATACCATTCCCCAAGACCCAGCGAGCCCCATCAACGATCATGGGCCAAACCATACGAAATAATAATTATCCAATAAATGATAGAAGATGTACAAAAAATAAAAAAATAAAAATAAAAAAGAATTTAGACATTAAAGTAAAAATATTTTTTATCTTTATTTTTACACGTCAAAATTATCTAATTTGTTTAAGCACTTTCATATCCCAATTTCATTGTTACTTCATACCAATTTATTCGATGGTCAACCACTAGTCAAATTACTGATCAAATTAGAAGATGAATCCAAATGTTATCAAATAGTATTATATTTTTTCTTTCTTATTTAATTTTTTATCAAACAATTAATTGAAAATCCTATTTCCATTATATATTTAATTATTATAAAATTTAAATTAGATCTAATTAAAGTAACAACTTACAATTATTATAAAATCAAAGTCAATATAATTAAAGTAACAAGACAACATAGTATTTGAAATTTGGTTGAAAATCTCAACTTACGGCATCTAATAGAAACCAGTAAACATATCGAAATATTAAATGTTTGAGGAAAAAATAATTATGCTTTAAAAAAAATCTTATTTTAACATAAGGAAAAAATCAACACGAGTGTTTATTAAATGTTTCAAAAACACCCGTATAGAAAATTCAATAAACAAAATATTTCAATAATTTTTAACATAAGGAAAAAATAAATAATAAATGTGTATTAGTATATTTAAATATAATATTGAATTTCAAATAGAGTAAAAGTCGGGATATTTTAAATCATTTTTAAAAAAAAAGTTTCTAAAGTTTTAATATTCTAGTAAATATACCCATAAGAAAAATCTCACCTTTTATTTTCAAAAAATTGGCAAGTTTATTAATGATAAATCCGATTAGACAAAAGATTAATTAGTTCAACATATTATAATAATTATATTTTAAAAAATCCGATTAGATGAATACAATTATATTAATTAATTTGTTAGGGATGTGATTATATGAATGTTAAGATAAAATGAAATGTACCTAAAAAATCTGTTTGTGATCTTTTATTTTAAATATTTGAATTTTAAAATCTAATAATCAAATTTAAATTGTATCATATAAGGAAAAAATAAATAATAAACATTTATTAATATATCTAAAATATAACTTTGATTTTCAAATAAAGTAAAAGGCGAGACAACTCAACTTTTTTAAGTTTTTAAAATGTTTTAATATTTTGGTAGGTATATCCGTAAAAATAATCATATCATTTTAATTTCAAAAAAATTGACAAGTTTGTTAAAGATATAAATTAGGTTAGATAAATAATTAATTAGTTAAAAAATTATATTAATTATATCATCAAACAGTCGGCTAGATAATAAATAATTTGTTAGGAATATGATAATATGAAAGTTAAGATAAGATGAAATTTACCATATGTTTGGGATTTTTTTTTTAAATATTTGATTTAAAAATCTAAGATTAAAATTTAGATTATTTCACATAAGGAAAAAACAAATAATAAATGTTTATTCATATATTTAAAAATATAATTTTGACTTTAATATAAAGTCAAAGACGTGATTATTTAAATTGATTTTTAAAAAGTTTATAAAATAATTAATATTTTGGTAATTATAGCCGTAACAAAAATTGTACCATTTTAATTTTAAAAAAATTGGCAAGTTTGTTAATGAGATAAATCTAATTATATAAATGATTAATTAAATAAAATATTATGATAATTATATCTTAAAATATCAGATTAGATAAAGTAGATAAAAAATATTATATAAGATATAATATTTAATTAAATTACCAGCTATGTGTTTTGATTAGAATAACCATTATTGATCCACAACTATTAAATTGACCTCTATAATCATTATTTATCCAAAAGTGTAAGATTTATCCACACTATTAAAAAAAAATAAAATAAAAAATTAAATATTTGTTGCGATTTGTTTGGCATGAAATATATAGAATTTTGAATTCTAATTTGAAAATCTAAATCCTAAGCAAAAGTTTTGAATTTCTTGCTAAAGAATTCAACCGCCCAAATATAAATGTTAACCAAAACTTTTGAATTTTTTGCTAAAGAATTAAGCTGCCCCAAATTCAAAATTTTTGAAAAAGTTACCAATAATGGTATAAAATGAAAAAATGAGCGAGAAAATGACATAATATTTAGTGTATATTTTTCTTATCTCTATTATACAGTAGTACTAGATTGCCTAATAGATTTGCATTTTGAATAGTACCCCACTTAGAACGAGATAAAAGTAAAATATATGATTGTAAATAGAGGTGTTTGACTCCGTATTAGTAAGTTAATATTCACAGCAAAATTTTCCACCAGAAAATATAATTAAAAAAAGAAGATGGAAAGAATAGTATAAAAAGATATATATAGAAATTGAAAATATAAATTCAAATTAGAAATGGAGAACTATAAGGAATAATTTATAATTATTTTTAAATATATAATTACATATAAAATACTGAAAAAATGATATATTTTAACATAACCCTAGAACTTGTTGTACCAATTCCTCATATTAATGTTTTAAAATAACAAAATATAAATTTTTAAGTAATAAATTAAATAAAATCATATTACATTATTATTACAAAAGGAGAATTAGCAATTTAAGAAATTTCTGAATTTAGAAAAATATAAAATTTGACTTTAGCAATTAGTAAGAAGGTAATTTAAATACATCATTTGAACTACTGAAAATTAGGAAATCCTTTTTCACTGGTTTTTCATT